TAACAAAAAGTTATGTATATTAAAATAGGTATAACTAAATTGTATATGTATTTAATAGAATAATCGATAAAACTTTTCTATTTATTTACACGATTAATCGATGTAAAGTTGCAGAAGCGGCGCATTTTATGTTATTTATATCGACAAAACATAAAATATATATAATTGTAATGTTATTTATATGGACAGAACGTTAAATATACATAATTTTATATAAGTCGCGCTTTGGAGCGTTACGATCGTTCGTGTCATACGCTTTTTTTGACGTAGGCGAAAATCGTAATTACCACGCGGTACTCGGCGTGTGAGGTAGCACATTATTTTTTTGTGCCTTGCGCGACTAATTGGATTATGCGCCGAACGTGCGCATTTTATCTAACGACAAAAAAGACTACGAGCGACACGTGGCAAACGCACTCACGCTTGACGGAGCCAAAACTTACCAAGTTTTCCACGTGGAAAGAGCATTACAAATCCACAGAAGAATTGCTGTTTCTTGAAGCATCGTAAGGATTTCTTAGTAATTTGGTGAAAAGAAAGACTTCGTTTTTTGAAGGACTGTCGGTCCCGCCGTTCATACGTGTTTTTACGTGTTCGCGACAAAAGTTTAAACAAACATATTCATAAAACCACGAGTTATTAGTTATTGAATTATTTTGAATTTATATTAGTTACTGAAAACTTTTATTTGTACAACATATAAACATTGTATAATTTTTGTAGACCAAGTTTACTTTAAGTTACTATAATAATGAACAACATAATCGTATCGTAACTATCAAATTGCTGCATGTATAAATACGTGTATGTGTGTATGAGGCCGTAAAAATCCAAATAATTGGATTAATAATCTTGAGACCTTTCATAGTTCTAGCGAACCTCTGAAGAGAGACTTAAGATTAATAATTAAGGGAGTCCCAGGTTCGAATCCTGGCTGAGGTAATATCTTTCGCAATAAGAATTCTTTACAGTATGGGGAGGGGGGTATTGAATGCTAAACACAGCATTTAAAATAATTTGAAACCGTTTATCGATTTTAATATGTGAATTTACCGACGACAATGATTCCATCTAAATGAAACTATGTTATGTCCGAAAAGAAACCGGCGCGCAGGACAAAGTGAAAAACGGTATATGAGTTCACATTTTAGATTAGAATTATTGAGCTACCAACATCTTGGTTGAACCTAAAGGCGCTCTCGCTTGTTTGATTTATATCTATTTAACTTTATTTGATTAATAAGTAAATTTATGTTTATTAGATTCATACACACAAAAACACACGTACTACATCAGCAAAAAACATTTTGTGCGTTCTATTATTATCTTTATTTAGTGACATTTTCGTCTCTCTGCGAAGATATTTTACATCTTTTCTTCGCATACCTTAAGGTCTGCGTCCACGATGCTTGGTCCAAGTTCTAATTCCGAGAAATGCGAAGCTAATCAACTTGCAGCTTTTATGGAATATTCAATTACACTTTACTCTATTCAAACACACTTTACTCTAATTCATCAAGTCCTTACTGTGATCCTGGTGCTCTTATACGCCTTGTATGTATACATACATGAATTTTTACAAGAAAGAGAGAGCGAGAATTTGTGTGCATATAGTAACTTACCTACGATAATTTAAACATTAATGTCACAATATTATTGAGTTGTTACTTTGCTAATCATATATCGTTAAGAAATCTCTCTTTTTCGCAATTTAAAGTAACCATAATGGGAATCCCTTTGTTGCGGGACATGCGGTACGGAAAGAACAGCATTACAATGAGTAATCTGATATATACTTCCTTGTGTTTTTTTTATCGAATTTCCTATTCAAATGCATCATTATATTGTGATACGAGATTTTCATACGTCGTTTGGATTATTTTTAATAGAAAATTTATCTTTTGTAGTTCTATGATGTCTGCATAAAGCAAATATACTTTATGTCATGTACTATTTTCTATTTATACACGGTAAAAAATAAAATGTTAATATTAACATATATCACGTGTCCCAAAAAGTCCACTCTAAATTTTAACTTAAAACAACATTCATCGCGTGTTATTTTTGACAAATTCTAAATGTTGATTAATTAACACTAGACTTCGCATTTATGTTAATGTTCTTTAACCTTAAGTGTGATGTAATAAAAACAGACAGGATAAGTAAACTGTACGAATAGTTAGAAATCAAAATAGTTGAAATAATTTTTAACAAATGTCGATATATAATATATTACACGTTTTGATTGATTTTGTGAAATAGTTGTGTTAAAAGAACTCGAAATGGTATTCAATTTTTAAAAGACATACATGAAGCGTCAAGTTATTATGTAACATAAATATTATATAACACATAAAAGTGTTACGAAAATAATAACATATCTGTTTCATGTTAATTTTACATTGAAATAATAATCGAATTTTGGTGACGCGAGAAAATGTTAACATTTTTAGCACACGATTTTTTACTGTGTAGATTATACAGTTGCTGTAAATGTAAACAGCGAATCAATAGATGCGTTATACATATACATCAACGGCTTAATAAAATTACAGATGCGTATGCGTTGACGCGTACATTGCATAATTTACCTATAGAATTATCATTTAGATAATTGACTAAACCATACCGTTCGCTTCACCGAACGACTATGTTATTAATATCATGGCATTCGCGTGTACGCTACGCGGTGAACCAATATTCCTGAGTATCTAATATTTACGACTGGATACATTGAAATTTGACTAAATTTGATTTCCCGTGTATAATATACATAATAATAGAAATACAAGATGCGTAATATATGTACATATTCTAAAAAAATTATTTATATAATAGATATAATTATAAATATATAAAATACATCTATACAAGGCAAGGAAAAGATATGGAAAATCCTAAATTTTTCAAAAATTATGCATTTTAGAAACAAATGTTTAGAGACAAAAATTATATGGTTTCAAGGGAAACATAAGATGGTATCATTGGTTTGACCTTGGACAGTCGTTTGAAGGTTATATCTTGAAATTTTTTAATAAAAACCTGCATTTTTTATTATATCATCTTCTTTTATCAATTAATTGGAACAACTTTTATCTGAAACATTTTTATATTTGTCTAATATTTGTTTAGATATTCAAAGAAAACTTGGTAACTTTTTCAATAATCATCATACGATATCTCGATAACTGTTTATCGTGAGGAAAAATGATACAGGACTTTTTTTACTTGATTTGGTGTCAAGAATATGCTATTGCAATAGTACTCCAACTTTGGTAAACATTTGTGTACACATCTTAGAGTTTTCATGTAATATTCATTCAAGTTCTCGTTAAAATTAAGATTGCGAATTCTCTGCCCCGCGTTCAGCGCGTAAATCAAATTCACAAACATATTTACAACACGATATAGAACGAAGTCCAAACACGAATTGTATACCTGGATGGATCTTCTGTCTCTTTTCCCGCCGCTTTTTTCCACCACTCCGAAAGAGAGAAAATTATTTGCCGCAGCGTGTGGCAATTGAAATATGATCTCACGCGTCTCGGAATCTCATGCGCACGCGCGCTAAATCGTTCTGACGATAACGTGACGTGCGGACGCGAGGCGCCTCGCGGATCTCGCGGTCAGAACGTTCGCGTGACGGACGAGCGAACGAGTACATCGCGGTATCGTTGAAAGGACAGAACGTTTTCCTTCTCTCGCGGGATGCGCAATCGTCCGCTCGTCGGAGGAAGATCCTTCTATCGTGAAAGAGAAGAGAAACGAGAGGGGCGGGAGAGCTGACGAGAGATGAAGGATGACGCCGCGTCTGCCGATCAGATGGTCTGATCGCAATCACTTCGCCGTCGGTGCGTACAAGGGGAAAGAAAGAAACATAGAATCCGACGCAAATATAGGAGATAAAGTGCTCGCGCGTTATCTGATTACAATTATTCGATCGTGCTGTATTCGCGACGGCGCATTTTGATACGCACTGACAGTACACACAACCTGAACCAATAGAACTATAATGAACCATAGATCTTCTAGTGTCGTGTGCTCCGGAACGCGTCGTTAACCTTGCGCGCTAACTCGGGAAAACGAGCTTTACTGTCGCGGACGAGACGCAGAGGGACACGTGTTTCGAAAATCCAATTTATCCTTACGCAATTCGTCGGAGTTTAGGCGACTCATTCCGTGATTACTCATCTCTCTCGATTGATAAACTGATCGACCGGAGGATCGTTGGTTGTCTTATCAGAGAGTTACGCAAACATATGCTGTAATGTGTTTTATCTGTCGAAAGTGTTATACTTGAAGAGTGTCAAAGTGAAAAAAATATAACGGGAAAAGTTTGGTACAGTTTTCTTCCGTAATTGCCTTTGTCGATTTGCGCTAAAAATAGCACAAGGAAATCACAATCTCACGATAACACAACGCTCGATCATACATGTACTATTGTAATACACTCCTGAGCTGTTAATTCACTATCAGACTTTATTAGTCATGTGACACGTGGACAACAGGGGCGTAACACAGAAGCGAATTAAGCATTGGCATACACTGACAAAAAAAATTTTTAACTAAGTAAATAGATTTACTTGAAATTATTTTTTTTTACTTTTTAAATTATTTTTTTACGAAATTTAAGTATGTATGTGTATTAAAAAGACAATTTACTTCGCGTTATATTTATTTTAATTACATTTCGCAATAAATTAAAATTTATAATATAAATGGAATTAAACAATTAATATATTTTTTTATTTTCTGAAAAATTGATCGCGAAGACCGACCGCGGAAATACGAAGATGCGTGTAACTATATGCATGTATTCATGCGAGACGCATCGTGAAAGTGTATCGCGAGAAACACATACAAAACAAATGACGTGAGACCCAGAGAAAAGAAACTTTCTGTATGATAGATAGGCCGACAATTGAATATTCTAGTTAATCAATAATCTCAAATAATGTATAAAAATAATATAAAGTTTCAGCGTTCTCGACAAAATATTAGAATCTCACGTCATATTATTTTACATTATACATAAATTTGTTAATGAAAAATGGATAGGCTACAAGAGATTAGTTCGACGAATATATCAACAATATTCGTCACATTTTGCGTGAAAATGCAGTGATGTCTTGCAACGGGGCACCCAACCCTCTACAATGAAAATCGCGATTTTCCCTTTCCACTCCCTTTCGATAGATGGAATATGTAAAAATAAATATGAAATTATGTTGTACTCTATCCATTTTAAGGCAACGGATCTACGAAATATACTAATCTACGATCCACGTTCTACGATCCACGTTCTACAATCTACGATCTACGAGATGTAGATCCGTTGCCACAATAAAAAAGTTTTGGACTCACCACCCGATGCACAGCAGCGGAGTTAGCTATGTTGAGTCTGTAACATAAAAATATAGAATTTATTAAAGCAGTGTTCAACAAGATTAATATAATATAATGCAAAATATAAGTAATCTTGTGTGTATCAAACTGTTTATTCGGTTAGAAGTTTAAGTGATTAATGCACGAAAGAATTTTCCACAAAAAATCTTTAAAGAATAAACTTTTATGAAATTTTAAATGATCCAACAAAATTGCTTTCGAATCTGTATCTAGCTTGATTTTTCGATACTTGTTGCAAAACCTTTGCAATAATCTTTCGTGAATAAGCTTAACATAAAATTCCTATTCACGCGACTAGGTTTAAAGTTAGTTTTTAAATATTTTTTTAAATATTGTAGCGAAAAGTTATGCAATATTGTTTTCTGTCTATTCTGACTCACCGCTATTTATTGCATTTTAGTGAGCGTACTCCTGGCTATTCTGGAGTTCAACGTGGTACCGCACCAACGTATCGGCTTCTTCTGCAATGACCCAAAGATCTCGTTCAAATTCACGGGCGACACGATCTCTATGGGCCTACTACTAGGCCTAAGTATCAGCCTGCCTTTAATAGTGGTGAGTACTTTCGTTTCTCATATTATTGCTTCATAAACTGAAAAAAAAACTGTTATTGAAGTTCCATAAGTAGCATTGCGTAAGCTGAACATGCTTCATGTTCAGTAGCAATGCTATGTACTTCCTTTATGTTAAATTTACGATTTACATTTTCTTTATCATGTAAGTCGGAGATCGGTCTCGACAAAATCTCGATTGTACAACTCTTTCTAAGATGTTGCGCCCTGAATAACGTTCATAAATTTACAATTAATTTTTGCTCGTCTCGGGACTGAAAATGTCAACGCGAGAATCCAATAGGACGATTGAATGAGTTATTAATAAGAAGAGAGGATAGGTATCTCCTGTACATATATTTTAATAATCTCTACGCCGAAAAACGAGCAAGCTGAAACACTGGGCAAACAAAAAGAAAACAATGTACGTCGACAGACAAAAGGAAGTGCATCTTTCTTTTTCGATTCAGCTCGGTAGAACTACCGATAGCCTCTCGAGGGGGAGCATTACGCAAAGGTTTCTTTTTGGCCGGTTTCAGACATGGGGCGTAGAATACATCTTCTATCCCGCGGACAGTTACGAGAGCGCGTCGTGCCACGGCAGCCGGAGTAGACAAATCTGGCGTTGGTATGGACACTACTTCGCCGGGATCTCGACGCTCACGCTCGTCTGCGAGATCATGAAACTCCTGATCGGCGAACCGCGGCCGCACTTTCTCGACACGTGCAAACCGCGCGAGGCGGCCAACTGCACCGATGAGTAAGCACCGACCTCCTCTACCCTTCTTTGTCTGGGTCTTGCTACCTATGAGCACAATCGGGGTCGTCGCTCATGCCGTCGACGTGTGTAGGCAGCCCGGTGGACGCGAATAGCGTGCTCGTGGGCATGCGGGCGCGATACGGGCTCCGGCAAGGAGACACGCATGCCAGGCACCTACGTACAAGTCCTGATAATTGCACAAGTTCTCAGCGATGTCGAGGGCTCAAGCGCGAGGAGCGGACTTGTTATTCACGTTCTATCGCTTAATAAATTGACGCAACTGTTTCTTCTTATCAAATCGATTAACAACCCTCGTAAAAATGCAACAAAGGAGTGCACGTTCAATCGTAGGAGATGTATTTATCAATCGCGAGAAAGACTGTTCGCTGCCCGAATACACGCGGTCGATTATACAGAGTTCTGTAACGCGTTCAGCGTACTTGATCGTTACCGGATTCCCTGACTTCTTTTTATACGTCAGTAAAATAAAGTATCCGTTCATCTGTATTATTAGTAAAAATCGTGGCGAGAAATGCTGTGCTGAAATTTTCTTCAGGATATTATTTCGAATTTTGTTAAAACGTTTGCTTTAAATGTTACCCTAATCCACCCCTAATCCGAGACAACGAAAGTAGTCGTGACGTTTCTTGTTTCTTTTTTTGCAGATACGTGAATTCTTACACGTGCACGAACACCGAGTTTTCCAACTGGTTCGTCAGTGACTCCAGCAAGTCCTTTCCCTCCGGTCACTCGGCTCTCTCCGTCTACACGAGCATCTTCTTGGTGGTGAGAATTAAAAAAAACCCTTTCCCTCGTAATATAAAAACAATTCTTTTATAAGATAAAAACCGAGAATGCGGAGCGTGTTCCGTTTAATTTATCCGTAAAGCTCGTCGGGCAGCCTGTTGGCAATACAGAGAACTGTGGTGTCAGCGTCGAGTACTTCCGTCCGGTATCGATAGTCAGTATCTAAACGACGGGAAAGAATCCGCGAAAAAAAATCTCCCCAGCGGCGTATCGATTTTCGCGGGATGCGCGCGCGAGACGAATGGACGAATGCCGGGGGAGCCGCAGAAAAAAAACATTCTCGCGGAAACGAACGTAACTCGAGGTAAGAAAGAAAGTAGCAAGAACGCTCGGCCGAAATTACGGATCGATTCCCCCGCGCTTTTCTTTTTCTCTCGCCGCTGAGTAAGAACACCGTCGTAACGGTGCGAGAGTTAGGAGTACTCGTCGCGCGAATACACCATTGGACTTCCGGTTTTTGTCCACCACCGTTTAAAAACTGTCGCATTGCACACAGTGGTACCTGCAGAACCGTCTGCCGAATCGGACATTGTTTCTGAAGCCGTGGCTGCAATGCCTGATGGGAATATGGGCCGTTACTTGCTCGATGACGAGGGTGGGCGACAACCGGCACCACTGGTGGGACGTTCTCGCCGGCGACGTCCTCGGCCTCCTGTTCGGCCTGTTTGTCGTGGTGGTGCCGTGCCGGCACTTCTGCCTCAAGCGCGCCAATGCCGATGTCGCGGCGACGCACGCCCTTAACGAGCCCCTGGAGAACGGCCAGATCGGCGGCTACGACGTGCAGCGCAAGCAGAGCGCCAAGAAGCTGCTCAATCCCGCCGTCGTCGACGTCTCGGAAGTCCGGGAGATGAAAGACATCGCTACCTGGAGGGAATGAGCGCGATGCGTTCGCGTGGACGACGAAGGGGCAATTTCAGGGGGAAAGGGGGAGGGTGGAAAGGGGGATGTATAGAATACATAGAATCGCGTTGATCGCATCACTCGTCCCGGAAAGTTCGGATCGTCCGTTCCACAAATGTCGAGTTTCGCTGTACCTGACTTTTTCTTAAATACTAATAATAATAATATCAGCCTTTACCGAGTGCAGTAGTCGTAACGTGTCATACACACGTAACGAGGCGGAAGCGTAATAGAAGGTTGCACACTGACGGGCGAGGCGTCGGCAATAATATCGCTCTTAAACCTCTATGATACTAAAGTTCAAAACGAACATCCACGGTCTTTAAGAGGATCCCTCAGCATCTTTTTTTACCGACACAGTCAAGTGTAGTTTTTGCACTTGTAAGTCTTTATTGGCTTTTATGCACAAAATAATACCAGGACAAGTTGCGGACTGTGACCGCAACTTATCCTGGTGTTATTTTATCACTATGTGAAATATTACTATATGAAGCTGTCACCTAACCTCACCTCACCTAGCCCTAACCTAACCTAACCTAACCTAACCACCTAACCACAATCACTTATAAAGTGATATTTTTAATTTCTCTTCGTTTTTTATTGATTAAAGTCGACTGTCCCTGGCTTTATCTTTATGCGTACTTTCCCATACAGCACGCATGTCTAAAAGACATCTTTAAAACATCTTTAAGTAGTCCTTTAGATTACATACATATCTAAAGGATCGTCTACAATAGATGAAGTAAGCCTGGCGTAAGAAGTAAGAGTAGGAGTGAAGAAATGAATCATTTCCATTTCCTACTCCTACTTCAGCTCTGACGCTTACTCTCGGCGAATTAGAGCGTAGTTCGACCAGTGCTACAAATATTTTAAAAAATGTCTGTACTTTAGCCTTTACACTGAAAGGTAAAGGTTAGGTTTTCTTACTTCTTACTGCTTACTTCCAATGTAGACGGTTCTGTAACGTACGTGTAAATCGGCATAAAAGTATCGGCATAATAGATTTAAAAGTTTTAAATTAAAACTTTTAAATCTAAAATAAATCAGAAGAAAAAATTATTGAACTCTTACAGCGCACTGTTGCCAGGGTGGTGTTTCGAACAGAGAACACCTTTCTGGCAACAGTTATCCCTGCCGTGGTACCTGCTTCGCTCGAGTTGTAATACAATAGACGATCGCGATGTCTCCCACGGAGAAACTTGATTATTAATTATTAATCAATATCATGGTATGCCCATTGCGCTGTAAGAGTTCAATAATTTTTTCTTCTGATTTATTTTAGATTTAAAAGTTTTAATTTAAAAGTTTTATGCTGATTTACACGTACGTTACAGTTCTTAAAAGACGACTTAAAGACGTCTTAGAGATGTCTTTTAGACATGCGTGCTGTATGGGTTAATCGTGTGGAAGCATTTTGCAATTTTATAAAGACAACTTCAAATTTAACACGAATAACAAACTGAAAAATTTAAATACTAATATTTTTTCTTATTAACTTCTGAACTGAGTGTTTTAAGTATGAATATGTTCCGCTATGCGGCACGCAACTTATCCTGGTATTATTTTGTGCATGAAAGCCAATAAAAAAACTTTACAAGCGCAAAATTTATATTTGACTGTGTCGGTAAAAAAGTTGGCTGAGGGATCCTCACTAGGGAAAATATATTGTAATAATACTGTAGCGATAAAAAGTAACAGGTAACGTCGATAAAAGAAAACAAGTATCAGCTTAATACTTGTTTTGGCTCAATGCTTTTAACACTTACAATTAGGCTAATGTTGTACATATATACATATAATATACAACAAAATATGCGTATACGCATATACGCACACGTATTTCTAAAATACGTATTCTGTACAGAAAAATGACGTAGTTAAATAACGAAAGTAATGCCAACGGCACACGATACTACTTTTCCTACTGAATTGCTTGCCAGAACCAATAAGGATGCAAAGTTTCAAATCAGGTAACTTAAGGCTGAATCCTAATTAGCTCTCGTAAGCAATCCAGAGGGAAAAAATAGTATCGTGTGCCGTTGGCTTAAGTAATGATAGAATGATAGAATATAGTAAAGATGAATGTAGATATAAAGTGAGAAATATTATAACATGGAATGATAGTAAGCGAAGTAAACACATCAAAACACTGAGATGCGAAATGCAGAGAAACGGTTTGATTTGGAGAAACGAGAGAGGAGGACGAGCGAGTATCGAGAAATAACGAATCGCAATACCGCAACGCAAGTAGGCGCGTGTTCGTGCGGCAAATATGTTTGGTGCATAGCGTCCATTGATAAGGGACCGATAACGGAATGAGACGGAATGGCTTCGTACGTTTGCCAGCAAACGCTCCTCGCGTTTCCCAAGAAACAAGGACTTCAGAGTAACGTCCTTTCCGAGACGATTGATTCGATCAGGGGATGTGCAACGCGCGGGCTCAGTGGTGGTTTCCCTCGAAGCCGGGATCGAACGCCGAAACGCACGAGATTTATTTTCGTATTAACGTACAAATTGCTCAGTACGAAGCAGTCGAAACATTTTACATTCCACTGAAGAGGGGGGTAACAAGAGATACACATATCAGAGTCACGGATGCATCCGTCGCGAGGTTCTCGCAGGTGCGAAGTGACGGACTGCGATCGGAAGTACGCTCGTAGGTATTCGCGAATCGGGGGATGATTCGCGCGAAACTGCCTGTACCGACTTGCGCCGATCTGATGTATAATGTAAGAAGCTCGCGGGGCTTACGAGTATCGAGCCAATTAATCGCGCGGGATGATAATCCAACGGGGGAGGCAACTTAGTAATCGTCCACCCCGAGATATTTAATCCCGCCCCGATGCCGACTTCTCTCCGCGTCTCAAACGCCCCGCTCGTTTCTTATCAGTAATTTACACCTACCGCTCCCGCGGTTGATTGCATTATTTAAGAAACCTGATGCACTCTGGTCGCGGACAGAACCGAAAACAAGGGCAATTTTTTTTGTAACAGCGAAAATTCAGTCGCTTTAATTTATGTTACGCGGCGCATGATTTTTAAACGAAATGAAAATTGAATAAAGTCAGAAGATTGAGCCAGAGAGAATAATTGGAGCCGGGAGAATAATTGGAAAATAAGTCTCGTTGGGTAGAAATTTTAATTTATTCGCGTAATATTTAACGTTATTTTCGTAGGTACATAAGAATGTTTCATTCACATTCCGTATGCAGCTTCCAAGTGTACATATTTTTAACTCGCGTGCACGAAGATATTCTTCCCTTTCTTTTTAATTTATTTATATGCGAACGAGGAATGAAGGAGTAACAGTGAGATTTGTATATTATTGCAAAAGGAGTGCCTTTACGGATGCTCAGAAATGAGCGTGTATTATAAACAGTAGTATTATTTACAGTTACGTAGTATTATTTTATTGCCTTGTTTTATCATCTTCGGGTCTTAGAGGCGGACGTTAATACGTCGCTAATGGAACGTTTCTTTTCTTTTCTTTTTTTTTTTTAATCAAACTTCACATCGGCCTTTTACTCGGTGAAAAGCCATTAGATAAGAACGTATCCTTCGACGAGTCTCGAACACGTTCCGCAACGGTATCGAACATATGTACGCAGTGAACAAGGTGTTCGTCTGTCGGCGTTATGGACCATAAATACAAGTAGCGTTTATATATCACAATGCAGCCAGGCGGTGAATGATGGTAAGTTACGCGAAATTAAAGTGATTACACGTCGTACGCGAGCGCGCTTTAACGCTGCCGATTGTTATTCTTACAGCGTACGTTCTATACCGCGCAAGAAGCGTGTTATTTAATGCACCTGCTGATTTCCGCCACCGTGTAATCGCGAACGCGGGGCTGTACATATGTCGTAGAAGATATCGTATTTTTCAAACGAGCAAACGGCGTCAGCCGTAAGAGACTACCCGTGATTGTAATTACTACATGTAATTTAATTAGCCTATACGCCGACCCTACGCGCGATTGTGATACGTCTCGCGATCATGTGCATTGTCATACGGTGCGTGTGTCGCTGTAAATGTGTGCTTATTTGTACTCGAGATGATTTCTTTTTTTTTTTAAAAGAGCCAATCCTAAAGCAGTGCCTTTCTTTTATGGCCTCGCGATCACGACATACCGGAATATACATATATATTTCTCCATTATGTCAACTAAATCGAGAACGCTCGTAACATTAAAAGGGCAATGTTTTATACACGCAGAAAAGTAATAATACATTTTGACATTTTTTTTTACATCTCCCAACTTCTAAATCCTTTCGTAATTTCCATGCCGAGATCAGTAATTTACTCTGTAGTGAATATAATTATATATCCGTGGCGATTGTGACGCAAAGGATTGTGCGCTGGTCTGGTAATCCGGAGACCCGGGTTCAAAACCAAACAAAACATTGTTGGTTTTCGTTCGATCGCCACATATTGAAATGGATATAGAGAGGCTGCTAACCTTGCCCTTGCCGAAGGAAACCTCTCCTTCACTAAGCCACACAGTTACAAATAGATGAAACCTTATTTTTATTAAGCATGTATGCTCTATATCGTTAAGTTAGTTCAGTCTGCTTTAATTCCTTGATTTGTCTCCACGACAACCCGCACTAAGGAGCGCACATTTTTTTGCGGCCACACTCGCCACAAATTTCAATGTAAATAAATGTAAATTTTTTAAGGAACGTGCCTCAAACCTGACGTAACACCTCTCTATATCCATTTCAAGATGATTCGGGATTTATCTTTCGCGTCATTATGTTAATCTTGCTGGCATTTTTACATAAATTTAAATAGGTAATATATAAATTGTTTACGGAATGACCGAGCGCTCTTTTTTTCGCGCCACACGGTTCATGTAAACGATCCGGAGAATTCGTTCTGTCGCTGTCTTAATATTTTTCATACGTGTAAAATAGCGCGTAGCAACTATCTGTCTGTCATGAGGGAATAAAACACGAGAATTAAAAATAAAATGTTTCTCTTTCCCTCACGATCTCTCCCCTTCTTGAACCTTACACCGAATGAATGATCGCGCTCCCTTTGAAATCCCAACTTCCTCCCTCGCCCTCGTTTTCCACCCTCGTGTCGTCAAATAAATCTTACAGGACAGCGATCGGTATCCTTCGGCATCGGCGTGAGAGCGACTACTGGACTAGCGCCGCAGCCCGATGCTAAACCGGGCCGTGCGAAAGCGCCCTTATTCGGCAGCTTGCACCACATCGCCCTTAAATTTTTAATCACCAGACGAACGCATCGAACGGATTATCACGGAAAGCGTTCGATCTTAATTTTAACGGTGGGCTCAGTGATTTTCTCTTGGACGAGAATCTGTCGTGCAGGTGACTTCGGAGTATTCGACATTAATTTTAGCAAGGCAAGCCACACGAGTCGAGTTTTGCGACGAGGTTACAGAAATCTTAATTCGTCAGAATTTTTTTTAGCTTTGATTCTGCTAAATAATTCTGCAATTAAATCAAGGAGGATCGCGACGGTGGAGAATTGAAATGAGATAGACTATGATTTAAGCCTAATCTACAATGCACTCTCTGCATCTAGGAACATTCTATTTTATATAAACAAATCGAAACGCTTAAAAAAACTTGCCGACAATGTACGCTTTGTACAGTGTATGATATACAATTTATCCTGCGCAAATTTTTTAAACGTACTTATTGACAAGCAATGTTTCTTCAGATTGCCAGTATTAATAATAATAAAATTTCAAATTTCAATCTACCTCAGTTGGCCACATTTATTAAATACTATACGC